AGTACCTAATTAATGCCATGCGACCAATAAACTAAGAATTTTCATTAAAAAAAATGAGGACCTCTTTAATTAAACAAAGTTCACGTCACCAGTTACTTGGCCCGATAATTCTTCTGGTGTTTGAGAATCATTTACAATTTAACTTGGAGCTGCTTTATTAGACAGCTTAAAAATACCAATTGTTCAAAGGGCTATTTCTTGTGCAGTCTGACTTATTTACATCTCTACTGATGTAATGTTACCATGCAATGATTTGTGCAAAACTGTAGTAACTGACAATCACAAATAAGCTTCAACAATTTAAATAAATGCTTAATCAATCGAAACGCAATATTTGTGGTGAACATACTCATCTATTGTCATCATTGCTATTTAAAAATTAAAAAAAAAAATGACAGCAGGAGAGGTTTTTCCACATGGGTGAAGGCTGGTATGCAGTGGGGATAAAAGGAAGGTGGGACTAAAAGCACCAATATAGTGACCACTGTCAAACGTAGTAAGCATGCTTCAGACTTCAAAAAAGAGAGAGTGCCAAACTCAAACTTAACCACATAAGGAAAAGCTAGGAGGGAGAACTAAATGTTTCACCAAAGAAGTAGGTTTTAAGGGAAATCATAAGAGAAGAACAGGGAATTCCAGAGTTTAAAACCTAGGCAGCAGACAGTTCAACTTTCAATGGTGCAGCCAATAAAATAGGAGATGCGGGATGTGCAAGAGGCCAGAATTGGGGACAACAGATACCCAAGAGTTTTGGGGCTGCAGGAAGTTATAGAGGTAATGGTAGAAGAGGATTTGAATACAGGGTTGAGTTTTTTTTTTTTAAAAACCTGAGCTAATGCTTACCCAGGAGCCCGATAGAACTTGGTGCAAAGAAGGACAAACAGAATTATGGATGCCCTCAAATTTATGGAAGCTGCAAAATTGGGTGGCTCACCAACAGTGCATTAGATTATTCAAATCCAGCAGGCAAAAAAGACAGGGCAAAGGTCCGAGAGACAGACGAGCTGAGGCAAGCAAAAGTCAGCTGACATCACAGATGGAATAGGACCGCTGGGATAGTCCGAGGAATGTTTTGGAAGCTTATCTTGGGATCCAACATAACAGATGATGAAATAGAATAGACAATGGAACCTGACACTGTTTTCAGACAATACTGTCAAGGGATAGCATATAGATAAGAAATTTCATGAGGCCAAGGATAGATTCTTTGGAGACATAACTGTTTAGCAGATTGAAACAAATGATTTTCAGGCTACAACTAGATAGATAAGAATGGAAACATACAAGTGCAGATCCACCAAGCTGAATGATAGACGATAGGCAAGATGGCTTGATTAACTATCAAAAGCTGCAGACAGATTGAGAAGCAGCACACAATAGACAGTTCAGTAATTCCACAACCATAGATCACATCTAAGCTCCGCAGTCCTGCCACATTTAATTGTGAATAGTGCTGGACAATTAAGTAACTAACTGAAGGAGAAGGTTCCACAAATATCCCCATCCTCAAGATGGGGAAGCTAAGCACCTCAACACAAAAAAAAAGGCTGCAGCATTTGCAAACCCCTTCAGCCAGAAGTGACTAGTGGATGACCTATCTTGGGGCTTCCTCAAAGTCCCCAGCATGACTGATGTCTTTAGCCAATTAAATTTGTTTCTTGTGATAACAAAATGACTGAAGGAAACAGATATTGAAAAGACCACAGGTCTTGCCAATAATCTTACAATGGTATTGAAAATTTCAGCTCCAAAACTAGGACCTTACTTCCTCACTTCCCAAAGTGTATCACAATTTACAAGGTACAAATCAGGAGTGTGATGGAAAACTATACACAGTACCATAAATCTGCAGGACTACGGGCTAAACGTCAGAGACAGTGACATTAAGCTATAAATGCTTCATTTCTCGGCAACCAGACCCATTGGGCCAAGTGACCTATTTCTTTGACTTAAATGTTGTACAGTTCTACGTTCTCCACTTCCCTGTATGGGCACAGCTTCAACCATATTTAAGTAGTTCAATACTATCCAGGACAAAACAGCATATCATACAAGTGCCATCCACCACCTTCATCATTCACTCCCTTCACCACCAAGTGGCTGCAGCCTACAAAGTGCACTACAGCAACTTACCAGGCTCCTTCAGCAGCATCTTCCAAGCCCATGACCCATACCTAGAGGGTATAGATATACGAGAACAGTAAATGCTGAAAATGCCCACCCAAGCCATAGATCACCACGACGTGGAACTATATCACTGTTCCTTCATTGTAGCTGGGTCAAAGTCCTGGAACTCTGTCCCACATCTCATTTACTGCACTGGTCCAAAAAAGGTAGCTCAAGGAATATTAGGGCTGTGCAATAAATACCGGCCTAATCAGCAACATCCAGATCTCATGGTAAATGTACTTTTTTTTTTAAGAAAAAGGTCAAAGAAGAATCTATTACCACAGTCAAGTTATAGAGATTTCCATTTGTAACTCAAAGCAAAGCAGTTATTTCAAGGTAATGGCAGGAGTGGGAACCTAGCTGGAAAGACTCATATTCTGTGAAACAAAGACACAAATTTGGAAAGAAACAAGTTCAATAACTGAAAGACAGGTTAAAGAAGGGACAGTAATTTGTAAGGAAAGTTTTTTAAAAAAGAAAATGTGAAATAAAAGGTAGATTTGAAGAGAAGGCCAATACCTAAAGACACAATGGTTAACAAGCAGAATGGAAGGAAGAAAGAGAAGAAAGGGAGAAGCAGAGAGGAATTGAGAAAAAAAAAGCACAGCAAGCAATAAAGATTCCCCATAACAGAAACATTGCTCCTACTTGCACACACACACCTCGTAAACTAACTGAGCACATTTCTAATAAGTGCAACATCATAAATTAGAGGTACCATCAGGCTTTTAAGCTACTTGGATAAAAGTATTCAACCTCTATACAGGTGCTTAATCTGGCGAAACATCACTTTTTGGGTAATTGTTTTATCCAAACTAATGATGTGATATACCAAAAAATAAAATTTGCACATTGCCCATATCTCAGCTTAATAAAACACTGCATGCACACACTTTATTCCAATGTTAGATTAAACTTGTAAATCTTAATTCAAGTAATTAATGGCATATTACATATACAGGATTCAGTTGCCATTTGTAAAATGGTGCACTTGCTGCATGCAAAAGGCATGGGAAGTGACACTTGAGTACTAATGAAACCATGTGCAAAAGTATTTTCAATTTATTTCACTGTGGAATCAGTTGACTGCAATAAACTGCTTTCAGACCATTACTAATGCATGCTATGTGGCATAGCTATATTCCACTACTCGTGCTCCACATGCACAAAAGTATCACAACCATGTGATATTTGCCTGCTTTATGTTCAGCATATTCTTCATGTGCTTTCACCTGTCCTTCTTGCACCTCAAATTCTTCATCAGGGGGATGAACTATTACATCAGGAATATCCTCACCGGCACAAGACACCAGCAAGCGACTTTGACCCTGATAGCGATGCTCCAGTTTTGGAGTGGAGGGTGGCGTGTTTTGAGGGGTGGGAACAGGACTTGCACACCTTGAACCTGCTAATGATCCACCTTTGGAACCAGGCATAAAGGAGCCAAATGGAACAGAAAAACGAGAACTTCCTCTTAACGAAAGGCTTGAAGCAGAGAGACCAGCACGGAGTGAAAGGCGGGAGGCAGAAAGGCCTTCCCCTATCATCAAAATGAAAAAAAAAACACAAAATAAAATACAAACTAGGATTTAAGAAGCCACAAGAGTTCCACGCAAGCAAAAAGTAAATCGGTTAAAGCACAAGTTGCTTTTGGCTAGTTGAATCATGCTTTGAAAATATGAAAGCACAACTGAGTAAGTGAGCAATAAAAACAATTGCATAAAATGATCGAAAGCAAATCATTAGATGAAGTAATAGCTGGTCTTTTCAAAAGGTGACACAGCACTAAAAGGCTGGTGAATATTGAGCGTATCTGTATGTTGTCATTTCATTTGCAATTAAAAGTTAGTTTACAATTTCTACAAATCGTAAGTTAAATTTTGTACACCTTGCCACTTTTCATTGAAAATTTGTCTGTAACACCTTTCACATTAGATAAATGTTGGATTAGTAGAACTTCCCAAATTGTTCGAACATTATCTGCAATAATCAGTAATGCAGTCTGGTTGCTTCAATTGTGACTGTTGCAGATCTGCTTTTTTCAGGTTTTCAAACTCCAATGCATTATATACTTTGGCAGAAATGCTCATCCTTCTGGATATTGGTGTTAATTTTTCCTCCTTCATATCTTTTGCCAGGTCTTTGATTCCCCATTTCATGCAATAGAGCCCCTCATCTTCCAATTTAATCTTGTCAATAGCCCCTTGCTTCCAATTTGGGTTTACTGGTCTCTCCAATCTGGTTACTTTTGTTCCCTCAGGAGCTGTCAAACCTTTCTCACCCTGCTGTAAATTAGGCCCATCCTGCTCTGGCCTACTTACAGGACGATGCTACCACACTAGCAGTACAATTTTGTGTTTGAAAATCAATCATTTAATTGCATCATCTCCTTCCAATCGACTGTTTCACCTTTTACTTTCACTACTATTTGGTCTCTAACTTGAGAATTGCTGTTTAGGGCTGTCGTAATTACCTTGTGACTTTTCATTCTACTTAATCTAAATAAAGGAACATAATCTTAAATACTCTGCACACAACAGCACTCATTTAAAAACAAAATACCATTTAAAATGGACATAGATAGAAATTGTAAATAAGTAATTGTTTTAAAATCGGTTTTTGATATCTCTTACACAATTTAAAGAAAGTCAACGTTACCATTATCATACAAGCAGTTATTCAGTCTTTCCAAGTAATTTCAAATTTAAAAGACTTGTCAAAACAAGTTAGACGAGCTTTCAGAGGACTACTCGGTATTAAAACAAGTGTCATACAAATAAAAGTAGTGACAAGCAAATCACATTTACTTCTCAGCAAAATTGATCAAGGACAATTCACTAGTTACTTCCTCTGAAATAACTTTCCTAAGCACCTTCCATTCTCGAATAAAAAGGTATGTGGAGACAAAGCAAAAAAAGGTCCTGTCTACTGTTATTCTGTGAATTTGAAGTTATTTTGGCATTCATTTCTGCATAGGTAGGTTGTTGTTAGCAGCAGAGATGCAATCTGTGCAAACTAAGAGAAATACATGAATTGTTCACAGACTTTGTTGCATTACTGAATAAACAGATTGTGTAGTAAATCTGAATAAAAAAGATAAATAGGTTCAAGCAGCAAGTTCAAAGTATTAGACTTTCCAAAATCCAGAATAATATTTGCAAAACATAAATACCAGCAGCATATTTTGTCAGGTTTCATTTATGACCAACTGGCAAAATAACATGGCCAATCAACAAAAGATATTTAGACACCTTGTTCACACAGCAATACCAGAACAGCAGACACACATGATTGCCTGCCACATAAGGAATTCTACCTACATGACAATAAAAAAGTGGAAACAAAAAGGACTATTCAATACACAACAAAACCCAGCCAAAAGCAGTCTTTATGATCAAAAGTTTGCAAATACCAGTTTTTATTCTGGTGCCATTATTCTGGAAACATTAAGAAATTGGAGACTACAAAACATCTCACCATTTCGCTCAAGCAAGTGAGGATCAGAATGTTTCTTGCCTATATCTGCAAAGGAGCGGACGATAGGGATTCGATTACTCAATTTCTTTTCGCTCTGGTGATGATGTTTTTTCAGTAAAGCTTCCTTCACTTTGTCCCGCATGTTCTTATCCAGCTGATCAGATGCTATCATGTTGTCCAGTACCATATCTGCAGTACAAATTAAAAAGCAAGCAAGAAGGAGAGAAGAAAGCAAGTGAGCAGTTAACAAAGGAAAAACATGCAAACAAAAATTGTAACAATAAAGAAAATGGGTGCCAAGTGCCTCAGATATAACAATGAAACCAATAGAAACAAGTGAAGAAACACAAGAGAGCAAATTCAACCTTTAACTGGAATTACTAAGCTAAAAGCCATGAAAAGAAAATTCTCCCTAGATATTTCAGATAACAGGAAAAGAAAAACAGCAACTTAAAATTTACCACGCTTCTAATTTCTCATCCTATTGAACACATCTGCACACCCTACAGTTGTTCAAATCCTTATATGGGGTGATCGAGGAATGAATATAAACAAAGTGTAAAAAAGACCTGCTCAAGATAACTGAATTTCTGAACATCATAACAGTAATCTGAAATTTCCAAATTGACAAGAACAGTAGCAATTTATTCAATCCTCTAATTTGTATTAATAATAAAATGGTATTGACACTCCAATATTTGAACGGCTTTCAAGCTGAGAGGTCTTACTTGGCAGCAGTGGTATGTTCAATTCAAAACGTGCTGAACAAAATAATAAAGGCTACACTTTTTATAAATGTGAGCATGAAAAGTAAGTATCAGGTTTAACAGTTTCATTCTAACAAATTATGTTAATTGTGTACTATTTAAAAAGAAAAAAATCTATGAGTAAAAAGGTAAGCAAAACATCCGTGATTACGTACACACCTGCTATCTCCTCTGTGGTGCTAGCTCTCATATCCAACATGACAGTCCCATTTAGTATACAGCTTCTCAACTCAAACAGACTGTGTAAAGACAGGGTAGCCACATAGGGTTTACTCCATCGTTCCCCACCATCTTCCACATCCTCCTCAAATTTCAACCACCTGAGATGAGAAACAGACTGTTTAGAAATGCATTTATATTTGAAGGAAGGGGACTGGCTAGCTCAGTTGGCAGGACAGCTAGTTTGGGATGCAGAGTGATGCCAATAGCGCAAATTCAATTCCTGTGCTGACATGATGAACTCTCCTTATTAACCTGATAGTATCAGGGGCAACACGGGAGAATATACACAATTCTCTATAGTGGAGAGTTCAAGTCTCAAAAGCTGTGTTGTCTGCCTAGTGCTAGCGTTAGTGTTAAAGACGACTATAGGGTTGAAGAGGAAAAGTTTACATATCATCATGGTCAATGTGGTTATCATTAATAGACAGGACTTCTTTAAAAAGAACTTTTTAATAAGTTGTTCTGTTCAATCAGTATGAAGAGATATATCCCAAGGAAGTTAAGGTGTCAATTGAAAGAAAGTGTGTAAAATATTATGACAATTAGTAACAGGACGTTTTTTCAAAACGAAAAAAAAGGCCAGCCAAGGAAGACTGAAAAATGAAGGGAGAAGTTGGAGCATATGAGAAAACAAGCAAGAAGTGTAAGAATAGGCAGAAGACAGTACTCAAACACTGGTCTTTTAGAGAATGGTGAATTAATAATTGAAAAGAGTGAAGAGTGAAATGTCAGAGACTTTGAACAAGTTTTGTCTTCACAGTAAAAGAACCAAAAAAAATTAAAAGTAGATAGATAATCTAGTTAGAGAAGGGAGAAAGGAACAAAAAGCTGTCAAGTCCTCTGCACCTGATGGTCTGCATCAAGGAGTGCTACAGAGATAGTGTATTGCTGGAGGTCTACCAAAATTCCCTATATTCTGTAATAGTACCAATGGATTCCAACACCTTTAAAGAAAGGAGGGAGAATAAAAGCAGGAAACTGAAGACCAATTAGTCTAATTTCTGTCATTGAGAAAATGCTACAATCTATTATTAATAGCAAGTAATAACAAGATATTTAGAAAATCATAATTCAATCAAACTGAGTCAATATGAATTTATGAAAAGCAAAGAATGTTTGACTAATTTATTACAGCTTGTCCTACAAAATAGGCAAACTCATTCTCCCCACAGGTGGCAGATCATGTACAAAAATAGGTCACCTACTTTGCAGGAAGAATAGACAGGCAGCTTATCTTTTAACAGAGACAGACTGCAGAATACTGCAGTACTGAGAGATCTGGGTATCCTTGTAAAGCAATCACAACAATGATAGTGCAGCAAGTAAATAACACGGCAATTCAATATAGGCTTTTACAGTAAGGGTACAGAGCGTAAAAAGTGGTACATTTTGCTACAGTTGTACACAGTACTTTAAGAACACATCTGAGCAATACTCCCTCTATTCAGTTGGTGTTCTACACAGACCTCAGGCGGTGTATGCATGGCTGTAGCTTACAAAGCTGGAATTCAATGCTTGGAACAGCATCAGCAAAACCACTGAGTGACTGCATAGCCATTCAGCTTACAGTGAACATCGACCGGCAGTACCGTACAGAGTTTTGGTCTCCTTCTGGAGACAGGGACATACTTGCATTGGAGGCAGTTCAGGGAAAGCTCAGCAGGACAATTTGAGATGAACAGGGTTGCCTTATGAGCAAAGATTAAACAGTTTGGTCAATACTCATACTCAGAAGAATGAGCAATTTTATTGAAAACTACAAGATTCAGAGGTTTGACACGATTGATTTTCAATCCTAGGAGAATCTATAATGAGGTGGTACAGTTTAAAAATAAGCATCTCCCATTTAAGACTGAGATGAGGAGAAATTCTTTCACTCAGCTCATTTAACTTGTGGAATTCTCTTCCTCAGAAAGCAGTGGCAGCTGGGTTATGGAATATATTCAAAGCTGACTTTTGATTGACAAATAAGTAAAGCGTTATGGGGAGGGCAGACTGGAAAGTGCAGTTGAAATGGAGTGGCAGAGTATGCTCACTAAGCCAAATGGCTCATTTCTGCTCTTATTTCTTATATTTCCTATTTCTAAATTGTACAAAGCAGAGAAGTGTATAGAACGTGCAGGAAACCAGGATGGAATAAACAAACACCTAGTTGATAATGATCTGATTAGGAATATTCAGTATGGGCTTTTGAAAGGAAAAGAGAGTGTTTGACATGTTTGGAAAGTCGTTACTGACAAAATTGATGAGGACTGCAAATGGACTTCATATACTTATTTTTAGAAGGCTTTTGCTAAAGTCTGGTTAGTAACACTAAAACGAATGGTAAGGGAAGCAATATGCTGGCAGAGATTAATATTTGTTTTCCATCTGTTATCCACAGCAAGAATAAATGGGTCATTCTTGCTTTGCAGGTGGTGACTAGTGAGTAACTGCAAGATTAGTGTTTGGGCCCCAGCATTCACAATATATATCAATGATTTGGAGATGGCATACCAAATGTAAGATTTCTAAATTTGCACATGGTACAAAGTTAAGTGGGAACATATGTTGCGAGGATGATGGAAAATGGCTTCCGGAGGATTTGAACAGGTTTAGTGAACAGGCAAGAACATGGTAAATGGAATATAATGCAGAAAAGTGGTGTAGAAATGATGAGGTTATCCACTTTGGTAGGAGAAACAAATATGCAGGGTATTTCTTAAATTGTAAAAAAGGTAAGAAAGTACAGATCATAGAGATCATAGAATCCTTGCAGTGTGGAAACAAGCTCGTCGGCCCAACAAGTCCACACCAAACCACAGAGCATCCCACCCAGACCCATTCTCCTATAAGCCACCTAACCTACACATGCCTGAACACAATGGGCAATTTAGCACAGCCAATCCATCTAGCCTGCACATCTTTAGACTGTGGGAGGAAACCAGAGCATCAGGAGGAAACTCACACAGACACGGGGAGAACACGCGCAAATTCCACAGAGACAGAGACAGTCACCCAAGGGTGGAATTGAACCGGAGTTCCTGGCGCTGTGAGGCAGTAGTGCTAACCACTGAGCCAATGTGCAAAGGGTGTTTTTGGCAATAAGTCACAGAAAGCTTGCTGCACCTGCATGTTAGCTATGAAGGCAGCCAATGGAATGTTTCCCTTTATTGCGTGAGGATTTGAGTACAGGAGCAGTAGAGTCTTGCTTTAATTGTATAAGAGCTGGGGGTGGGGAGTGGTTAGAGCGCATCAGCACTAGTTTGGTCTCATCTCAAAAGATATCACTGCCCTAGAGGGGAGTGCCACAAAACTTCACCAGACTTATTCCCAGGATGACACGACTGTCCTATGAGGACGGACTAAGCAAACTGTACACTGGTATTTCAAAGAATGAGAGCTGATCTCATTGAAACTTACAAAACACTCAGGTAGACAGGACATTTGATGCCCTTGGTTGAGAATCCGAAACCAAAGGGCACAATTTTGAAAAAATAAGGATGAGGCCACTCAAATCTGAGATGAGCAGACTTTTTTTTAAATACTCAGAAGCTTGTGAACCTTTGGAATTCTGTACCACTGAAGGCTGTGCAAGCTTAGTCTTTGACTATGTTTAAAGATAGACACTGATAGATTCCTCAATACCAATGACATTCAGGATTTTGGGGATGCATTGAGTGAAAGCATGGAAGCGTTTGATCAGACATGATTGTATTGCACAGTGGGCAGGCTCTACAGGCTGAATGGCCTACTCCTGTTTCTACGTACCTAAGTAGAAATGATACACAACCTTTAGAGCTGCAAACAAGATTGCTGCTTGTACAAGCAGCAACAGCAATGGAACATTACTCTTGTTAAAGTAACAGTGAATTCAGCTGTAAGACACCAAATTGCATTCTTTTGTGGCGATGCTAACTCCTCAGAGATTCACTCAGTTAGCTGCATGGCAGTAATTCCGTATTGTTTTCTCCATCATAAGAGGATTGAAAAGGCATCCCTGAACTAAGTACAGATATGCAATTAGGATTATGTGATACTCATTGTCATCTAGACAGGCTGGTTTGTGGCAATCAATGCACGTTGAGCTTGGTTATACCAATTACACACTTTTGTACAACCAGTAAAAAAATTTACCTGGTGCAAGTGAAGTGACAGAAGATGCTCATCAATTACACCACAAGATCATAAATAACAAGGATATAATGGCATAAACTGGACAGTACGTGAATAGTTGTACTTTATAAAGAAATTGTACTTCCAACATTACAAAAGTAACTGCAGTTCCAAATTATTTCATTATCTATAAAGTGCTTTGAAGTATTGAGCAGTTAGTGAAAAGTACTGAAAATTGAATTTATATATTCTCCTTTCATTCTGGTTGTAGAAAAAGTAAAGATAAAACCTAAAAACTTCCATAGAGCGTCACTGAATATCAATAGTTAAATATGCAACGTCTTTTTTCAAACAAAAAAACTAAAAAGAATTGCAGATGCTTTAAGTCCGGAAAAAAAAAACAAAAATTATTGGAAAAGCTCAGCAAGTCTGGCAGCATCTGTGAAGAGAAATCAGTTAACGTTTCAGGTCACTAGACAGATTCTTTTCACAGATGCTGCCAGACCTGCTGAGCTTTTCCAGCAATTTCTGTTTTTATCGCTTTTAAACAGTTCAGGTTTCACAACTCCAAGAGACCAAAGCACAAATGACGTACTTGTGGTGGACAAAAAAATTGAACTTTTTCTTTGCTAATCATGACATAGCTTAAGACATATAACATCACCCTCAAAAACGGGATTTTATATTCTCAATCACTAAAAGAACCCATTACATAAATAGAATTAGAAACAGAGAAAGTATGATGGAGAGTGTGTAAATTGGGTTAAATCTCCAGTGGTGAACAAGACAAGATTGCAAACCATTTGATTCCAATCAAAGAAAACAACTGAAGGAGGGAGGAAGAATCAGTGACAAGGGAAAGTTGTTTGAAGAGCAGAGAAATATTTAATTATGGCTCTTCAAAGCACAAATATTGGACAAGCTTCCTGATAATACTAAGTCTGGAAGAATATGCTGGAAACGTGGATTCAGTGTCACCAGTAAACTTGAAAACTGACCCAAAAACAGGGACAATACTTCTACAAGACAGCAATTTCTGAGGTGGGACAAAGTACAGAACTTTGCCCAACTTTAAGCATAATGGTGACAAGAAATATAATGGGAGGCACAGCTATTGCTGGAAATGCTCTGGCTAATTGGCTTTTAAAACTGTAGGCAAGAAGTCGTCCACCAAGCCAGGTAACCTAATAAATCTGTATGCGCCAGTTAGCAGGAAGTTCTTTTGTCAGTCTGTTCTGCAGTTCCTCCAAAATCAGAACACTTACTTCCTATTGTTCACTCGTGTGAAAAAACAGCACAATTGTTAAGCAAGAATCTGTTAGCATAGTTGATGACAATGCATATTTTAGACTGCAACTAAAAGTTTAAAGTCAGCAAAATTAATTTACACAAACCAAATTGTTCAAGTTTCTCATGAAAATTAATTGGATAAAACTAGACAAATTTCTAGAAAAAAAGGAAAATGAGTGATTTTTGGAAATTCCCTTTCAGTTGCTCCAAATCACTGAGAACATAGAGCAGTACAGCACAGTACAGGCCCTTCAGACCATGATGTTGTGCCAACCTATTATCCCTTGATCAATCTACCCTGCATACCCTACATTTTACTATCCGCCATGTGCCTATCCAAGAGTCGCTTAAGTGTCCCTAATGTATCTGACTGCACTACTACTGCCGGCAGCGCATTCCACACGCCCATCACTCTGTGTAAAGAACCTACCTCTGACATCTCCCCTATAGTTTCCTCCAATCACCTTAAAATTATGCCCCCTCGTCACAGTCATTTCCACCCTGGGAAAAAGTCTCCGACTATCCACTCTATCTATGCCTCTCATCATCTTGTACACCTCTATCAAGTCACCTCTCATCCTTCTTCGCTCCAATGAAAAAAGCCCTAGCTCCCTCAACGTTTCCTCATAAGATGTGCTCTCCATTCCAGGCAGCATCCTGGTAAATCTCCTCTGCACCCTCTCTAAAGCTTCCACACCTTTCCTATAATGAGGTGACCAGAACTGAACACAATATTCAAAGTGTGGTCTAACCAGAGTTTTATAGAGCTGCAGCATAACCTCACAGCTCAAAATCAATTGCCCTGCCAATGAAAGCCAACACACCATATGCCTTCTTTACAACCCTATCAACTTGGGTGACAACTTTGAGGGATCTATGGACATGGACCTCAAGATCCCCCTGTTCCTCCACACTGCTGAGAATCCTGCCATTAACCCTGTATTCTGCATTCAAATTCGATCTTCCAAAATGAATCACTTCACACTTTTCTGGGTTGAATTCCATCTGCCACTTCTTTGCCCAGCTCTGCATCCTGTCAATGTCCCGTTGCAACCTACAACAGCCCTCCATGCTGTCCACAACTCCACCAACCTTTGTGTCATCGGCAAACTTACTAACCCACCCTTCCACTTCCTCATCCAATTCATTTATAAAGATCACAAACAGCAGAGGTCGCAGAACAGATCTTTGCGGCACACCAGTGGTCACCGAGCTCCAGGCTGAATACTTTCCATCTACTACCACCCTCTGTCTTCTATTGGACAGCCAATTCTGTATCCAGATAGCCAAATTTCCCTGAATCCCATGCCTCCTTACTTTCTGAATGAGCCTACCATGTGGAACCTTATCGAATGCCTTGCTAAAATCCAGATACACCACATCCACTGCTCTACCTTCATTGATGAGTTTTGTCACATCCTCGAAGAATTCAACAAGACTTGGAGGCATGATCTGCTGCTCACAAAGCCACAGCAATACAAATTTGTTCCAAAAAAAAAAGTAGAAGAATACAACATAAAGGGACTTAATAAATCAAAGTTCCTGAAGCAAAAAAACAAGCTTACCCAACATCAGGAGAAAGGTTATTCATAGAATCCCTACAGTATGGAAGCAGGTCATTCAGCCCATCGGGTCCTCATCACCCCTCTGAAGAGCATCCCGAGGCTCACCCCCTTACCCTATTCCTGTAACTCTGCAATTCCCATGACTAATCCACCCAACCTGCACATTCCTGAATACTATGGACAATTTAGTATAGCCAATCCACCTTACTTTCACATTTCGGCCTACGGGAGAAAACCGGAGTATTCAGGCGAAACACACGCAGACACAGGGAGAATGTACAAACTCCACAGAGAGTTGTCCAAGGGTGAAATAATCCCAGGTCCCTGGCGCTGTGCAGTAACAGTGCTAACCACTGAGCCACCGTGCTGCCTTAAATTATTGGTATAATCTAATAGTTATTGGTAATCAGCATCGAAATGAACATCCAGTGACAGGTAAAAGTCTTTCTTACATATGCTATGCAAACGTTACAAGAAATACTATTCTGTACATTAGGAAATATACCCCCCACAAAACAGTAGTATACATGAATGTACACAAACACTCAAGGTAACCAGAAATTAAAATGCTCACACTTACCGGGCAGTTTCTTTCCACTCACAATCTTCTCCATCACGGAAGCAAAGCTCATCTAGTTCTGTAAAGAGATCATGTGGCATATGCTCCTCATCATCATCCTCTATCCCCAGGATAAACTGGACACGTTGAGATGGGGTATCTGCATTTTTTTTTTTAAAGGAATAGACAAAAATCAGGTTAAATTAGTTATTGTATTCATTCAAACATGCTGCTACTTTATTCTTAAATCAATTGAACTTGTGCATCAGAAAATTTAGATCAACATCTGGTTTATATTTTGCTCTATAAAAGAGCAAGTCAATATTTTTATAAAAACTGAAGAAGTCCCTTAAAAGTTTAATGATTCTACTCTATTAGAAGCACAAATGATGAAATCAGAGTGTGTTTTGGTTTTATGCAGATTATATGCAGTTTTTGCTATTTTCTCAAATCTGCATTTAAAGCTTTAGTCTGTTTTTAGGTTTTTTTAAAAAAAAGTATTGTTTTCTTTAAAGAAAGGAATGTTTATTTTTGAAATAACTGCACAGAGGCCAATATTCCATCACCAAGTCACCCTTCATTTACACATGCACAGTACATAGTCTCTGACCGGTTAGCTCAGAGGCAGTCCCCAAAGTGAGGAGACTCAGACTCTTGTTTATATCCGTTAGCAGGACTCCCTGAATGGGCTGTTAAACTGAGCCAATCAGGGATCTCATACTCAGCGAGATCCACCTGGCAAACCTCATTCCAATCACAACATTTCCTGTATCCAATCCTACCCACCAGACATAACTTCTGCCAACATTTCATTTTGGAAACCCCTGGATGACTCTGGTTGAGTTCAGCCAGTATCTGGTGGGATATTTACTCTTGCTCCCCATAACATACCATCCTCTCCAGTGATCTGGTTTCATCAGGTCCAGAAGGTTTCAATTCTGTGGTGACCCTTTTGGTTTCCCATCACCACCAGCCGTTTTAGTTTTTCCAGAATTGGATCTTGTGTGTCCACAGTCAGATACTGTGGGAAGGGTGTCCGGAAAGTTTAAAACCAGAACAGACCTCTTCCAGGAGAGGTACCACCAGTGGTATATCTGCCAGTGGGAGGCGGCTCAAGGCATCCGCATTTGCCACTTGGCCTCCTGGACAGTGTTCCAACTTGTAATTCTCAGTGTGTACAATAAGGTTATTAGCATGTCATCCAGATAAATGGCAACCCTGTAAAATGTTCTCCATTGTTCACTGGAAAAGGGTGCAGGCTGATGATACCCCAAATGCCAGTCTTGTATATTGGTACAAACCCTTATGGTATTAATTGTGGCATACTTCTGGGGATCCTCACCTAACCACAACTGCAGGTCTGCATGGCTCATGTCCAACTTCATGAAGGACAGCACCCCCACCACTTCCTTATTTACACCTGCACAGTACACAGACTGACCAGTTTGCTCAGAATAATCCCTAGAGTGAGGAGACTCCGAGGCTTCTATTTATATTTGTCAGCCAGGGGTCCTTGATTGGGGTCAATCAGGGATCTCATACTCGAGAACATCCATCTAGCCAACCCCATTCCAATCACTACACTTTTGTAGGCACATTTCACTAGTAGACGAAACAAAGATTATCCATTAAATCGACAGGAAATAGTTGCTGTCGACCAGGACTGAAAATCCTAGAATGTTTGCTGGTATCAAAATATAATCATGCAAACCTAAACTGAAAACAAGGATCTCTGCTAAAGGGTCATAATTCTTAAACGCAGAATCTATAGTCAAGCTCAACATGCTTATTGTAGTGCACTCGTGGGGGATGTAAACACACGTGCACATACATGCCAGCTAACTTCAGTTAATTATCCAAAGTTTTAACAATAATTTTTTCTAATTACTTACATTTTACACTATATAGGAATGTCAGAACATGTCTGAAGTTAGTTTGTGCATTGTTAGTATCCCACAATTTGATGACAAACAACACAAAACATCAAGCAGGCTTGGACACACATTATCTCAGTCTTGGCAAATGTCCCCTCTCCATCAACCATTCACCTGACTTCATCTGGCATGAACATGATCCTTGAATGGCTTTTTGAGGCACCCAAAGGCTAAACTACAGACGTCATATTGTCAATTCAAAACTTCACTCCATTCCCATCCATCAACTACTGCTATGGAGATATACAAACAGTCCTGAAGGGAATATGTTTTAGACATCGTTTCATGTTTCAAGATCAGCAGAAGCTTAAATTTCATTCCTTTGGCCATAGAGGCTCATACCAAAGTGAACCTCAGCTCCTTAGATTCTGTGGTTTTCACACATTTCCACTCAACAGTTCAACTGCTGGGCGTATAGAAATTAACAGGCATTTCATCCATGTTGTCACTAAAGACACAAGTACTCCTGTTTTTGCTCGTCTAATGAAAAAAATGAGTAGTTCTGGCAAAGTCATCCAGTTGTCCCAGACTGATCTTGATCTTCTGCCTCAACACTAGATATTTTCATTCCATGAAGTGCTTACATTAACTAGCTGTTGCTCTCAAATCTTTGCAGGAACCAGTTTGGTTAGGCCCCACTTAAGTGTGTACACATGCACTGTATTTCTGATGACAACATATTCTGACAGGTGAGGATTTATTCAAATATATATTTTGCATGATGAAACCAGTGATCAGTCCTTGTTCTCACAATCCATTATCCCTAGGCTTCTTTCTAAGGCCAGTTTTATTTAAAAATTAACAAAACGTTTTACTGCAGCAGGATTTTGAATATCGTCATTTTGACTATCAAATTACATTTCTTCTTAAATGCCTCCTCTCCAAGGATAACTCTCTATTACAATTTCAGACTGAACAAACTTTACAATAAAAGTGAAGTGATTTTAGATTTAAACAAAACGAAAAGAAGGTTAAAAAAAATCAAAGCAGGGAAAATGGAAATAAAACTAAAATCTACATTAACCAAATACAATTTATATTATATACATAGCAATCTTACTGGTATTTAGCCATTCATGAATAGAAACATGTACCTGATCCTTAATTTAGCCCACCCTAGATTTAGAAAGTGAATTATCAAACATCAGTAATTTATGAGGATTACATTTCTGAAGAAACATGGCTGAAGGTGGAGTCAACAAACTGGAAGAATGTTATTTTAAAGCTTACTGACTCTGAGATAACATCTACACTGTGTAGAGTAAACATTCTTTAGGAAGTAAAGGAAAAGTGTAAATTAGCATTATTTTCCTATTAAAAACATATGAGTTGATGCAGTCTATTCCTCCATCCAGTAGAATCATCACAACATGCACATTTTTACACAGATGCGAAATATTAAATTATTCAACTCTTGTCAATACATAAGAACAAGCAGATGCTTATAGGATGTGAAGTCAAGAGGATTCACAGAAATTTAAGACAAGCAGCATCTGGCTCTGGCAGTTAAACAATGAAACTTCTGTCTGACTTAAACAGCATGAAGTGGATGGTTCCGACTGAACAAAATCAAACCAACACAGAGCAAAAAAAATTATTCAACTACAGATAATAAATAGTAGACTGAAAACCAGGTTACTAGCCCAGTCGCAAAATATCAGCCTTTATTTCGAAGTGAATGGCATATAAAAATAGGGAGGTTTCGCTAATACTATACAAACTAGACAGACCACAGCTGGAATACTGTGAACAGTTTTGGACTGCTTATCTGAAGGAACTAGGCATGGGCGTCAGTCCAGAGAAGGTTCATGAAGCTGAAACCAGGTTTGGAGATATTGTTCAATGAGGAGGGATTGAGTAGATTGGGCCTGTACTTGTTGGAATATGGAAGAACCAAGAGACAACCTTATTGAAACATACAAAGGTTCTTAGAGGACTTGACAGCTTTTATGTGGATTCCCCTTATGGGAGAGCCTAGGGACAGAGGGCAGAATCTCAGAATAAGGGATTGCACATTTAAGACACCAAAGGAGGAGGAATTTCTTTTGTAGGGCAGTGAATTTGTGGAATTCTTTACTGCAAAGGACTGTAGAGACTGGGTCTTTAGATATATTCAAGGATGAGATACATTTTTAATCAGTAAAGGGAAAGAGAGTTACGGGGAAGAGACAGGAAAGTTGTTTTGAAGATTATCAGACTAGCCATGATCCCATTGAATGGCATACAGACGTGACGGTCTATTTCTGATCCTGCCTTATGATTGTATGAGGAGAGGTTGAGTAGGATGGGCCTGTACTCATTGGAGTTTAGAAGAAGAATATACGTGCGCATGCATGTGCGTGCTCGTGTGTCAGAGAGCAGAAGACCAAGGGAGAAAAGAAAGATGAAGGGTTAAAAAGACCAGTAACAAGAAGAAATTATATGGCAAGGAGCAAATCAGGAAACCAAGTTAAACAGAAAACAAATGAAGGAAATAAGAAGTGGAATGCACAAGAACAAGGAGGAGAAGCTGAAAAGAAAGAAATGAAAAGAAATTAGCTTAAAGTGGGGAAAAAAACAGAACAATAAAATGAATTATCAAACGGAGGCTAAAAAGATGAAAGGCAGTGTAAAGAACTAGCCAATACACAACACTAAGTAAGTTTCCAATCTATCACTAAAGTCGGAATTATTTTTCTTGGTCCATTCATTCTTAGTCATACAATAATTAAGCCAAGATTAGAGTTAAAATATTGGAAATATTGCTGGCATATCATTTATTCTCTATTTACATAATACCATTAATTTAGCATTAACAACTGTTGTTACCAATTCTTACCATATAAGGGAGACTCTCTTCCATCATCTTTATCAGATTCCTTCTCTTTTCCCTTTTTTCTATGATGATGCTTATGACCACGATGCTTGTGTCGCCTTCGGCTTTGTCTACCAAGAGGAACATGAACCCCTATGTACACCGCCCTATGACCTGGAAGTAAAACAAAAAACATAAATCACAAAGTTTCTTATTTAACATAGAAGCCAATGTTAATTTCTAAAAAGCAGGAACTTCAGAAGGACAAGAATAAAGTAGATTTCCTGTAGAACTACTGTTAGAAGAGCTTACACGTATAAGAGGACTTCACAGTAAACTAACGTTCCCAATAAAAGTATTGAACGGTCTCTGCAGCAATGTCAAAAGATGGCAATATTATGCAGTAAGCTACTTAATCTTTCATATGCTGCTCACTGTTACAACACTCACTATTTTATAATAGAACACTCGTGCCATGCAGACCCTTTTAACAAGGCCATTTAAATGACAGAATTACTGAAGATACATAACATGATTTTTATTTTAACTGTATTTTACTGTACTGTTCATGATGTTGTGGAGTATAATAAGCATTCTTCAAACTATACATACCTTTTATTAAATCTCAAGATTCACACTAGAAGGTAAATTTGGTAAAAAAATTCCAAGCCACTTGGCATGCTACCAGAAGGATAATAAAAATCTAATCCACTGCAGATGCTAGAAATCTGAAGCAAAAACAGAGAATGCTGGAGAAACTCAGCAGGTTTGGCAGCATCTGTGGAGAGAGAAACAAAGCTAAAACTTCAAGTTAGGTATGACTTCTTCATAGCTCTTCAATTCTAAAGAAAAAAAATAATTGGACTTGAAACATTACTTCAGTTTCTCCACAGGTTGTCTGACCTGCTGAATTACTCGAACATTTGCTGTTTTGAATCTAATTTCCACCACATGCCCACCAAAATCAGCTTAATTGCAGGATCAGAAAATTTTTCAAAATGGAAAGACAGAGCTAAGATTCCCCAGTAAAGATGGAAACTCTGCTCTTGAACCTGTACAGTTATACAACTAAAAAAGGAACATTAAGCATCAAAGTTTCTGCATGATCAAAGAGAATGATTCTGGCTAAAAGTAGTTATGGATGGAAGAGATTGGACAGTGGAAGTGGGGACCAAGGTACGTGTTAAATTACTACTTGGATCACATGGAAGCAAGCAGCACTAGTTTGCAGAGTTATAATTGCCCAACTCCCAGGAACTTTAACATAGGGTGAAGTTTAAATACCCTATAAACAAAAATAATGAACAACAAACATAAGCTATGATGAATGCATAAAGTAAAAGCAAAATACTGTGCATTCTGGAAATCAAAAATGAAACTAGGAAGTTTTGGAGAAATTCAGCAGGTCTAAAAGCATCTGTGGAGAGAAAGACAAGAGTTAATGTTTCAAGTCCAATGAGGCTTTTTTTGGCAGGGTCATAATTGGTGTCAAAACATGAACTGTTTTTCTCTCCATAGATGCTGCCATATGTGCTAAGTTTTTTCAGCACTTTCTATTTTGACTGCAGTAAATGAGGGAAAAAAGGTCAGGAGAATTAGAAGTTTTCTGAATAGTACCTGTTAATCTAAATTATCTGCTATGCACTACATGGTCTATAGTGCCACCTACATATGGCTACAGCATCCTGAAATGCAGACATGTTCATCAAAATGTCACTATTTCCCCAAGTTCCAGGAAAAAAATTAGCATTCACAAATTATCCATTTTAACAGCATTGATTAACCGTAAGTATTTTCTGTCATGCAGGATATGGTTACGTGCTATTCCCAAGAATGGTAAAACTACAGGAGACAACAGCAGAAAGCAAAAGATATTCTAAACACCCACGCCACATAATATTGTAATGAATGAATATGTTCAAGAGCTGTTGCAAAGTGCCAGTCAAAAATCAACCATACTGTTGAGATGACATTTTCACGAAATTGACATGAAGTAAAAAATTAAACCATCTGAACCTTATTAATTTCTTAGCCCAGGGAGAAAAAAGGAGGGGTGGAAAGAGCCAATAAAAGAATCTTCAAAAATTAGACAGAACAGAAATTGGAAGATTCAATCATAAAACTAATTATTTGGACTTAATCATCCAGACTGTCTGTCTCTTGTATTGGTCAACTCAACAATACAAGAGACAGTCTGGATGAAGCATCCTAAGTGATTTACAATTTACTGGGAAATCAGAGCGGAGATCAAGAGTAAGTATCTGGGCAGAGATTTAAACAACGGTCAAGACCCTGGCTCCTGAATATTCATTGGTTTCCTGGTTCCTGCCTTAAAAAGACAAATATGGGGAATCAAGAGACATTAGTGAACCAGATGGGTCTTTGCAACGATCAACAACAGTTTCATGATCATTATTGGACTCTTAATTCCAGATTTTTGTTGAATTTAAATTCCATCTTGCATGGTAGGATTTGAATCAGATCCTTAGAACATTACCTGGGTATCTGGATTAATAGCCTAGTAAATACACCACTAGGCCACTGCCTCCCTGTATATCTTCCTGTGCAAGTTTTTGCCCTTGACCAAGTGTTGCAGACTGGCACATCCCAAGGTCCAGAACTACATGCTGAGGGTCAAACGAAAGCAGTGGCAGCTGCCCAACAGCACAATAGGGAAAGGTTGTCGCCTAAAGCCTTGCAGCTATAGCACACCGAACGGCTGGAAGCTATTATTGTACCCTTCAGGCTGTTTGCTTCACAAAGAATCTCAGAATGAAGCATGTCATAAACTTTATATCTATTACACTCACTGTAATTTCCAATTTGAAATATTTCACCCTTGGGCTTCCATGAAATATGAAATTGCTAATATGAAATGCAGTTTGTAAATATTAAGACAGTTAAAATCAAGTGTGTGGAACATGTATTCTTGGGATGTGCTGAATTTGCTTGCAAATTGTAATAATCAAGCCAAAATGTTTTTGTAATGTCTCCCTTGCAAATTTTATTTAAAAAGTACACGTTTAGTATGTTTTAGAAATTGTGCTTGAGACAACTTGACACAATAGGAATAAAAAAAAATCACAAAAGTTTTCAAAATCCTTCACACTCAAATTGCAACAGGCAGCAGTCCTAAGAATTTAGTTTTTGACATTACTAGTTTGTATGCTACATTCAAAATAACACACGGAATTCAAAACGGTATAGCAATGCGAGGTGTTGAACGCAAAAATAGCAGTGCACACTGTGGAACTCTGAGTTATAACAGCTACGCTCCTGCTCTAAAAAAAGACCCTCGCTTTCACAAAAACCCCATCCCCTTCCCAACATGCCGTTCTCAATCAGGGGTACCAGCAATTTTCATGAGTCAAAATGGGTAAACATTTGGGAAGCACTGCCACAAAGCATAATTTGCCACTTCTGTTTTTATGGATTCACAATTCTGCCAGTTTCAGAAATGTACATACAAGGAGTAACGTAGATGTCACCTGCCATTGACATGAAAGACTGATACACTAAGTCACAAGGTGACAACTATGAATCCATTATTTTCCCTCACCGAAAACAGTTACACAATTGTAGGAATAAGTATGTTTTTAAAAAAAGTTGGGTGTGTGCACCCGCTGTATTTTAGATAAACAGTGAACTTTAGTGCACAATAGCAACTTCAGTTGCAAAGGAAGTGACTAATCCTGAAAAGAACAAATTTTGTGGTGTGCCAATCCTGAATTGACTGAAAACTGAGAAAGCAAAAAGGAGCATGAAGACAAAAGAAAACAAACTGCAACATTCCCGCTTAATATATTGCATGTACTGTTGTAGATACGTTGTGTTGTTTGGCACTTCAGTTATTCCGATCAACAGATGGTGATATCCATATTCTCATTGCTCACATTTATATTGAAGCTAGTAGAAATCTAAACCCACAAAAACGGAAGCAAATATGCCATGTGAAGAACATCTTGCATCAATCAAAACAACTTATTAGATTGCTAACCAATCTCCAATGAATGTTCACGTCTGGAATATAATTTAGAACTTTTCCCTGAAAGTGAAGCAACTTCAAGATTAAGAAATTTTAACCATTAAACAGGCTTCCATGTGTTGAAAAGATCAAATTGAAAAATGTAAATAGTCATCTTGAAATTACAATTGAAATGTAAGCTTCAAAATTAGAGAATAAATTTTGAAAGATAACATTTTTAGCCAACTTACTCTCTAGTTCTTCTTTCTCAAAGTTTGTATTGACAATTGTGCTTGTTTTGCCCAAATCCACAATAGCTTCTTCATCATGTCGCTACAAAGAGAAATGCAACACAATTAGAAATTAGTCTTATCTACAATTCTGAAATAACTTCAAAATGCAATGTTGTGAATATTGCTAACAGAGTACTTAATGTACTCATAGATAAGCACTCAATGTAATTCCTTTAATGCAAGAGTGTACCAACTGCAACAAGTCATCAGCACCCAACCCTTGAAGTCCAAGAAATTGCCTCACTTGCACTGTTTTCTTTACAGGCTAAAGCTCAAGGGATAGCACAATCTTTCAATTTCACACTTCACAACATTTCAGACAAAATTGAGACCAATAATATCAGATCATAATCTCTGCTATTATTATTTTGTTGGCTTTTGGGTGCCAACTGCAGTTTAGGATTTGGCTTCATATTTACATCCTGTCGGCATGGCCTTTGCTTATTTACTTATCTTCTTCTCAGGCACTATCATTCCTTCATCATCATTTAATCTCTCCTGTCTTCTACTGTATCACAAGCATTTGCTTCCCCACACTCCCTCCCCTGCTTCTACATTTGCTTCAAACTTGTTACATCTACTTTTTGTATAGCTCAGATGAAATGTCAACAATCTGAAATGTTAACCAGTCTCTCTCGTCACAGATGCTGCCGGATCTGCTGTGCATTTCCAGCATTTTTTGTTTCAAAACACAATATTCGCACTCTGCGCAAAACTGAAGATTAATGAGTTGTCTCAAAATATTCCAGATACAAGAAAAATTTTGAACTCAATTTTAAATTTAATAAAAGTAGGAAGCAATGAGTTTTTTTTTGGGCCAGAGAAACAGACAAGTGAAGCTCCACGTAGAAGCACTTTTTTTTGATATACAAGGTCATCTCACAGAAAAACAGGGTTGCATTCTTAAAATTACAACTTTGAGTGCAGGCTTTAATTGAAGCATGGTTTCCCATCAAAATAAAGTTTAAAGCCAGAGTTAGGTTCCTGAGGCCAATTTGTGCTGTGAGCCTAGAGTCACATGTAGGCCAGACCAGGTAAGAATGGCAGATTTCCTTCCCAAAATAGACATTAGCAAACCAGATGGGTGTTTACAACAAATCAACAGTAGTTACATGGCTACCCTCAGGCTATCTTGTAATTCCAGATTTTATTTTTGAATTCAAACTTTCCATGGTGGAATTCAAATACAAAGTCTCCATAACATTAGCCTAGGGCTCTGGATTACAGGTCTAATGAAATCACCAATAAGCCACTGTCTCCGCTAAAGACCAACCAAGCTGTTCTTTCAGGAAGCTGGTGTGGACATGGAGAATAATCATTTTTTGCACTATAACCCTGTGATGAAATGCATTCTTATTCTGATCTAAAGCAATGTTCATTAGGAGCTCCTCTTCACTTGTTTGGAAAACAAGAATCGCGACTCAGTTAGACTAGAGCACACAGGGTCAGAAGGTCCCTTGCCTGAAGTGGCAAAAGCAAACTAGTTGGGTTCACAGTATCACACTACAAAATTGCTAGATCTGTAGAATATTAGTTGCAAAAAATACCTGCCAAAGATGTTCTTAGACTACAATCTCTGATTAAACAGGAGGTGGAGGTTAATCGGTCTTACTCATCCCAACATCAAATTAGTGACTTATAAAATAGGCAAGAGGATATCAGCAATTTATTTACACCACACCTACAGAATACCGAAACATTTCACGGCATTTAACAGGAGTGTCATAAATAAACATTTTTGACTCCAAGCCACGAGATATTAAGACAGATGAGAGAAGGTTGGCCACAACGGGCAATGTCGAGGGATCAGCGTAAAAGGAAGACAGAAAATGTAGCGTGGCAAAGAAGTTTAGTAAGGCAATTTCCAACTT